TAGCTCAAAGCCCTGCTACCTGAGTACAGCCTCACAGAGCTGCTAGCATGGCTGCAGACTCTTAGTTGATTGGTCCGAAAATTGTAAAGTGAGATGAGAGATGTTCCGATCCAATGCTGTGTATAATATTTTATTACACCATTGTCAACGTAAATAAACAGACCGAATTCTGATCCTTTCTTTACTGAATTTTACTGTGTTCTGTTCATCTCAGTCTGCTAATGTTGCAGTGCTGCTCTCATTTGTGACGGCCTACAGCATGTACATTTTCCTCAAATGTGAGTGAAAATTAGAGGGTGAGAATGTGAAAAATTATTTGGCTGCGGCAGTGCAGTTGATTTTGATTTCTAGATTTGCCAAAATCCTATGCTCACAAATCATGACTGTACAAGAATGTTTGTGGGGAAGGAATTCCACTGTGTAACACCACTGCACAAATGCTTCTTTAGTTCCAAAAACTCCAACAAATTGATTTGTCTTGTCTCATGCTGAGAGTCACATAAGTTTCAGAAGTTTCATTTACCCAGTTTAACTTTTATTCATATGTGAATAAAAGTTTTTTGGGTAAAATAGCTTGTGGTGCTTCAGATTTAGGCTACAGTTGTTATTTTGACTAGTTAGATACATATTTAATCAACAATTAGGTTAATATAAGTATCTGATTGGACTTGATTTCAAAGGTTTGGGATCGGGGCCTAAAGTGTGTGATCAGAACATCCCTTGTAAAATGTAATACCACTTGGAATTAAAGTTTCCATGCAGCCGTGTGATCTTAGCAGTAAAGATAGAAATGCACAAACTTGATGAACAGCCTAATTTATCTCCTGGAGGAACAGTTTTGGGGAAATTCCTGTCAGATGGAAAATACCGTGGCTCATGTCATAGAAAACAAGCGTTTCAGAGTGGGTGGGCCTTGTACCATGCAGCACTAAACGGAGCCCAGACTTGTCTGTCTTTGTTGTATACGCCAAGCCAGTCTCCGGACTGAGGGCAGCGACTTACAGGGCTAGATGCCAGGCAGAGAAAATGAGAGACTGCAGCTCAGTGACAGAAGCAATGACCCTCAACTCAACCATCTTTTACTGTTTACGGATGTGCTGTTGCCATAATGACCCACTTTTAAAGCCGGTCTGCCAGTTTAGAACATTACATTTTCATGTATTGAGGGAGAGCTGGCAGTACTCCCCACAGGGATGACCAAAAGGTTGACGCCGCAAGAGTCCGTATAGCAAGAATGCACAGAGGTTTTTCATTTATTGTGCAGGACCAAAGTGAGATGAGAGTTACAGTTTAGGACAAATGCAAAAATTTGATGTGACCAAACAAACTGAAAGATAAAAAGCACACAGTTCAAGAAACTTTTATTCACCTTCCCACTGGCACCAACACCCACGAAACATAATTCTCCAAACTTATTATCAAAGCCTTGCAGGGCCACCTCATACTTTAGCAGCCCAGCGTCTAAATATAGCAGCAGTTGGTTTTTAACTATGCCAGTGGTGTGGCTGGATGGCAGTGACAGTGCTGTGGATTAGTAGTGGTTAAGCAACACTCTTATGGTGTGAATATAGTGGATTTACCACAAATTATACATGCATGCACACTTCATTTACACTTTATTTTTCATTTTTATGAGGAGTTAAAGGAGCTGTTGTAAATACTTTCTCACATTTAAAATCTCAAAATGTACCTTTTAAATTAACCTTACTGGTATTCAACACAGATTTACAGGAGTATCCTTGATAATTTTACAGCACTATAGAGTTATCTCATGGTCGTCTGTCACAAAAGGTTCAGGATAGTTTCTGAGAAATGTTAAGGTGCATTGCTTTGTAGTTGAGATCAGCAACAAAATTCAAAGCTTTATTCAACCAAAATTGAACCAAAATTCAAAACTGAAATAAATAAATAGAAATAATTAAATCTGGTAGTGATGTAGTGCTTGAAAAGATTTTTCAGTCAATTTCTTTCAGTCAATTGAGAGAAAATTAATTACTTTAATGACAACTTTAGATAGATAATAAACCATTTGAACCATTAATTCACCCTCTACAATGTGAAGACCTGCAGATTTTCCCTCTTTCTTTGTGCTATTTTGAATCATATTTTTGACTTTGGTAAAAGGCAGTTTTACATCAAGCTTCTTTCATATTTGTTTGAACACATTGTTTCAATATAGTAGTGAGTTTTCAGGTGATATGTTTATTTTAGTCTCTACTAGAACATAGTGTGTAACTGAATATGCCTGTATTTACACTCTGTCTGCAATGCTCCATTGTAGCGCCTGTGTCTTTAAGCCTTCCTCCTGAAAAAACCGTGCTGTGACTGGTCAGCTTTTACGGGTTTTCCACTTCTATGCTCTTGGCATCTCTGCACCATCATTATAGCTGGAGAATAATGGTAACAAAGTATGGTGGCACTTTTAACCGTGAAAAATCAACAATAAAAGCTTCTTAACCAAATGTTATGTTAACAACTGGATATGTTCCAGCAGGAATATGATCCGAAGTCATAAAGAAATTAACGATAGTTTTGATGGTTTCATTTACAGGCTTCCCTGACATTAGCATGTAGCTATATGTAGCACTGTACTAGCAGCTAGAGAAGGACTGTAACTGAGTATAGCAGCACTTTGTATCATAAAAAATCATTAATAAAAGCTTCTAAGCCAAAATCTTAACAACCAGATATGTTCCAGCAGGAATATGATCCTCAATCTGGGAGAAAGATTACATGTTTCTCTGTCATTAGCATGGAGCTGCATGTAGAATACCACACCACATGTTTTAGTGCAAATGGAGTCTTCTCCACAAGCTGGAGAATCTTTGTCACTGAGCTGGGTATTGGTACTCAGTGCCTTTGAGATATTGACCAAAATAACCCAGTACTAAGTAGTATTGCAACTTCCAGTCAAACAAAACTTCAGTCAGGAGACTTTCAGTTGAGCTGCTGTCATCTTGCCAAATGGCCAGTTCAATGTCTGCCTGGTTAGCACGAGCTAACACAGCTAACAACCAACACCGAACCATTAAAAGGTCCAAACAAACCCTCACCAGAATGTCTCGACTCTGTTGTTAAACCCATTATTTAACTGTCAGGTAATGTTAGCGGTGTGATGCTAACAGTTAGCCCTGTCACTTTGTGTGTGTGGCCGGACTCTCACTCCTGTGGGGGAGCTCACACTCCCGCAGACACAGCTACAACACATAAAATCTGTGGTGTGGTGAAGTCGAGCGTGACCAAATCGGCAGTTCAGCATGCCAGGATGCCAACATTTTAAAGTATGGTTATATTACATGTCAGTTCATTCACATTATGGGTATTACAGTACTCTATTAGGATAGAATATACTGAAAGGGTACTGGTATTGGCACTGGTAAAATTGTAATTTTTATTAAATGATACGCAGCCCCTCACTGAACTGGTGACCCTCCTGATTTGGCTATATTTTCCTCCATATGATCTGTGTTGGAGAACAGAACCACATGCACCTTGTAAATCCAGAGCAATTTCACGAGTAGCCAAAACAAATAAGAGATCGGTCTGGCTGGACTGATTCGTCTCAAGGCCAAAGGTCAACCATAACAAAGTTTTTCATTTTGTTTTCCATTCTCTGTTGTCCTACCTGCTGCCTGTCTTAGATGACGGGCGTGGAGATGAGTGTTTTGGGAAATATGCACGGCAAAATGAATTCATACTGTAAGGTAATGAGGACTTGCATGAGCTGTAATTGTTATTATTGCTAGACACAAATTGAAAAGCATAACCTGTCTGACACCAGCTATCAGTTGTCATTATGTGGGAAAACATGCCCTCATTGCAGATAGCTGTCTGTTGACACCCAAAGTAATTGAGGAGGTAGTCGAGCTGTTGAAGGCTCTCAAAGGGGAGGACGAACACTTGATCAGAGCATTTTTATGTCTTCGGAGATGATTTGATTTCACATAATGTCTATTTTACAGCCAGATATGCCATTAATTTGCATGATAGCGAGCCAAAATGTGACATTTTTATTTAGACGTCCCCACAATGTTTGGAGAACAATTGGGTGGCGTTTTTTCTTCTGTCAGTCTTTCAGAGCGGTGGCGTCTCATTATATCATATCTAACAGAGCAGTGAATAGCTGCCTCTCTCCTCACATTGCTGTGTCAGGTCAATGTGCCATTTTTTAAGTGGTGACGGGAGAGAGGAGGTGGGGGTATATTGTTGACAGCAAGATGATGATTACACATTTAACTCTTTGTTGTTGTTTACCAACAGCAGAAAGTAATAGAAGAAACAAAGAAATTACTTTAGCCTGCACATTATTCTACATCCCATATCCTATTTATTGTAGTTCTGCTGTGGACATCCAGCCAGGAGGTACTTAGATGTGATCCAATTTCAATGTGGTGACTGCTTATCTGGAAATATATCTGCAGATGCAATGTAAGACATAAAGTATTTTAGCCATACATCTACAGCACAGGGCGATGCTCTCTCTCCTGTTAGCTCAGACTGGCAAACCGGGCAAGTCTGTGCTTGGTGCCTGAAGCGCTGAAGCGAGAACAAGGGGCTTCTTTCCCATGAACTGGAGCCAAGTGCCAGCACTTAAGGTGAAGGGCCGAAGCGCTGGAGAAGTAATTTAATCTGAGGCTCTGCCCAATTCCCTGGGCGGCCGAGTTTAAGAAAGGTCACATAGAGAAACAGGCACTGGTGACCCCTTCCCAATTACGGGCGCTACAGCAGAACATATCACAGCACCGTCCAAAGTGACAGTCATTTAGCAGCAACTCATCTGAGGGGAGGAAGTGGGAGATGGATGATAAGGAAATAAAAAATGATTTGCCAGGACCTGTTAGCCACTTCTCTACACAGGCCTGCTGCTCCCCCAGCTCATCCCTGTCTTATTCACACACACTCATATACTCTCTCCTTCTCTCTCTCTCTCTGCCCCCCCCTCTCTCTGTCTCTTCCCACCCCCTGCCACCCCTGCTGCCCATCTCCCTCCTGCTCCACAGACACGTGACGACTCCGCATGATTATTGGCGCAATCACTCATGTAACAGCCTGCCCAGCTTTCCGTGGGGGCTCCAGTATTTGTCACTGTCACTTCCCCAAGTGCTCCGCCATTGTCTTGGAAATTGTATGTGTAAGGCAAGAGATGCCTGTGACCCACTTCGACAAGGGAGCCAGCGATGTGAGGGCGCTCATCACACAAAAAAACAGCAGTTTGATGTGTCCTATTATGTGTCCCAGCAAGAGCCATAAATAATTGTGACAAGTTTTTTGTTGCGCGTGAAAGTCCTTGACTCTGCCTCCTGTTCCAGCACCTCCTCTCTCGTATGGAGACGCTGCCAAGCACCCCCGATGATAGATGGCACGGTGCAGCAAATGACAACGGGATAGATTTTTAGTTTGTGCTTTGGAAGGGATCAGTAATGGTGCTTTGCTGTACAAAGCAATAAAAGAGAAGGACAAGAGACAGAGGGGGGAGAATGAGGGGAACATACAAAAAAAAAAAGATCCATCGATGCTGGAGAGGGAAGAATGATGGTCGGTGACGCATGATTTTTGGGCGTTTGAGCACTTAGATATATGAAATCAGGGTTTGTCAAAATGGAATGGTGGTGTGGCATTTGGCCGCTCACCGCAAAACATACATAAAAAATGCATGAAATACACTCTGTGGTATTATATTGTCCACTACCACTGAAGAAGAATAGTCTTTTCTTCTTACAATAAAAGAGCAAATTGATATACCCCGGTACAACTGCATTGTTTTTGTTGTTTGTCTCTACCTTGGACAAACACAAGCTGTACGCAGTTGTTCAACTATTCATTTGAGTACATTGTTTTTGCTCTTTGTTACTTGCCAAGCTGTGATTTCGGACTGCTTAGCAGAGGAAAAATTTCTGTGAAAAATCGACATGGACATTAGATAAAGTACCACCTGCAGGTCCTGGGTGCCAGGCGGGCAGGATACTGGTAGACAGTATGATCAGTCATGGTAATGAGCACAAGGCTGACATACATGCTTTGAATTATATGACTTTGAGGCCCAGGCACCCTCAAACCAGGCCTCAGCCATTAGTTCAACCACTCTCTCCTTATCTCAGAGTCAAGCTGTGAAGTTTTAACAGCGCCATCATTCCCCTTTTTCCTCTCTAAATTGTTCCACCTCCACAGCAGTGCAGAGTGGGAACGCTCACAGAGGTAAATTAAGACTGTTTGTGTGCTTTGACATAATGTGGTCTTTAGCTAAATAAATATGAGGCGGTTATTTTGCCTGATTGCCTCAATTGCTCAAGTCAACAAGCTAAAGTTTATATCTTTAAATTGTATGAATGACATGAGATGATTCGTTGGTATCAGCAGTTTAAGCGATACAGCAGCATGTTGTGCTCATGTTTGTCTTCTTCCGTTGACCGCAGACGCATTTGCTAATTGTATTCTGCTTCCTCTATCACAATTATTAATTTATCTCTTAAGACCACTGCGGCAGTGATGATCATTCATGTCGCCGCATCCGATAGTTAAGAAGTGGGCTTCCGTAAAAATCCATCATGTACATCAATGCACATTACTGAGGTAATTAAACAGGAGGTAATACCGCCAGATATCGTAAAATATCAAGAGGTGATCAAACGCCCCTTAACACTGTACAGCCTCAGCACATGGAAATGATGCAGTAGATGAGGGATCAGCTGCAAAAAATCCAACACACAAATGTAAATGTAATTTGTCTATTTTAGAGTATCTGTACCTTACCCTATGAAAAATACTAATTATTTGAAATATACTGATTACAGCGAGCCGAGAAAGTGGCATTAAAATAATTACTTGTGAGCCCTCTCAGAGTTTGTACATTTAGCACTGTACCACCATTAGGAATAATCTGTCCAATTAAAGGTTGTGTAATTAATTAAGTGCACATTCTGTGAAGAGGAGAGGGGAGAAAATTTATCAACCTGCTGAAATATGACCTATCTTGTCCAAAAGACTAATATGTTTAAACAAAAGATGAAAATTGATGACAACATTATTTGTAACAAAATGCTCACTGTGCAACTATGATGCATCTGTACTTGGATTCGGCTTCGTAGCATTGTCCTCACAAAAGCGGTGATGTATTACCCCCGGCTGCCTGGCAATAACTTTCAATGAAGGGCGCTTTGCCTATCTGGAGGAACAGTCTGTTTATTTACACCACTTTACATCTCAGGCCTTCAGTGGAAGCATCATCTGGTAGATTAAGACATGTTTTCATATGTAGAATTGTAAATATGAATACTGTGGAGGCCCAGATATAGGCATCATATGCCACTGATATAGTAGCGACATATGATGTTGTGAGGAACTGAGGCAGTGTTGGCACTGAGTGGACATCCTGATACCACCACCCAAAAGTGTAGTAGAGCAGAAAACATCTTGCTGCGCAAAACCTGTCGGGTCATTTCTGTTATAGCAAGAAAATTTGAGCCAATGTCCTGTGTGTGTGTGTGTGTGTGTGTGTGTGTGTTTGAGAGAGTGAGGAAGATGCCAAGTGCACATTCTTTCACCTGCCATTACAGAGTGTTGCCAGTTCTACATATGGCCTAGATCAACACTTCAGGGAACAGGCACAACATTTAGTGAAGTAGAAGTACAAACACACGTCTTAGGCTACCACGACCAAGACATATACACACTGCGGTCACACTGCAACCGCACATTTATTTTAGTACCACTTCTGACTTGAGCACTCAGGACGTAGGTACAATGACAGTCGTTGCAAAATTATTTCAGCAGTAAAATAATAATGTTGTGAGAACGGCAATAATTTAATCACTCAAATAGATAGTGTCTGAGACAATGATGTAGCGCTCCAGTGCTCTGAAAGTTGGACAGGGTGACTTTGAGAGCACCTTGGATGGTCCTTTACAAAAATGTGATGCACCTGAAACCAGGTTATCTAATATTATCTAGTTTAAGAGCTGCAGCACCATCAGACCTGCAGGTCCAGACCGACCTGCGCCACCTATAGGCACGGAAAGTAACAGCAGCAGCAGTTTTGACACGTATGCACCATGGATTTATGAGGAGAACTGGAAGCAGCGTTAGAGGCAGGGCCCTGTTTATATCTATGAAAGTCAAGAGTGCAAGTGTTGCATGTGAAATTACCCAGATGCCCATAGAGCAGGCGTATTATTAAATGAATGCTAGTGTTTAAGAGAAAACTTTTGCTAAAAGCAGGACTAAAGAGTGAACAGAGTTCACACTACTCTGTCACAACGTGAAAATTAACGATGTGCACTCACTAAGTTCTGCTTAATATTTGAACTATAAACTTGCGTGTTGTTAAAATAATTGGTAGAATGGTTAGCTATGGAAAAGTGACTATTTTTCCAAACAAATAACACTTACTGCGAGGTAAGACTAACATTACTCCTGTGAGGAAAAACTCTGATGCAGGGTTGCGGAAAACAAAAACCTCACTCAATTTTCACTGCAACCCAATGCAGTGTTATCCAGTGTGGCACTGTGTTGGCCAGTCAAATAAGTACAAGCTCATGTTCCTGTTGGATTGAGTAGTGATGTTAATTCTGTATTTCTGCTGTTTACCAATCAATTATTGTGACGAGAAATTAAATTATCGCTGCATTGACAGTCTCAGAACCTTGATAAGCCTGTGGGGGTGACGGCCAGTATTTCAGGGGGTTCGGTTGTAGTCTATAGATATCTGTAGAACTTTCTCTGTGCTGGTCATTTTGGCTAATCTCTATAAATAGAGATCTGCACATGAATGCAGATAAAAAAACAAAATTAAGAAAACTGAATCAGACGATAGCTGATTGGTTCCAAGATTGTATTTCGGCCAATGTGTTCCACCTCTTTTGCTCTCCACACCAACTGTTTATCTGCCACTGACTGGTCATTACTACTCAGACTAAGAATGGAAACCAGAAAGCTTCTGAAACCAAAATCTTGTCCAGTTGCCTTCAGATTCTGCACACATATGGAGATATCTGTTTACAGAGATAACCGTTGATACGTGATAAGTTTCCATGGTTATGAAATCCTCTAAGTGTTATAAACTGCCGTGCAGTGTTTTGGCATCTGAAAACTTTAAATTCATAGTTCTGTTACTCCAAATTCATAAATCGTATTCCAGCGCCTCAACAACGCAGCCTCTCCCTTTTTTTAACACGTTGTTTTACCACTTTGGCTCACTGGTCCAATGGTACGGGGGTTGGTTTATATTTTTGTTCATGATGTTTTGAGAAATTGCTAATTTTATTCACTCTATATTTAAAAAATCTTTAAGGATGAATTGTATTTCCATCCATTAAATTATGTAAAATATAAATTTGGTGTTAGTGTTAACCAATGTTACGATTACATTTCTTATTTTTAATTAGGGCTGGGCAATATATTGATATTATACTGATATATTTATATGAGACAAGATGTCATCTTAGATTAGATATTAGATATTGTAAGTGTTGTCTTTTCCTGGTTCTAAAGGCTGCCTCACAGTAGGGTGATGTAATTTTATAAATTACCAAAGTGTTTTGGCTGTTCTATTATTTGCCTCTACCCAATTAGTCATTATACTCAATTTACTAATGATTATTCAACATAAATCTCATTGTGGAAATATTTTGTGAGAGCACCAATAGTCAACCCTATATTGTCACAATTTAAATAACAAGATATTTGTTAAAAATATTGTGATATTTGGTTTTCTCCATATCACCTGGTGCTATTTTTATTTATGTATCTCCATTCATTATTCACTAACTAACAGGGTACACAAATGTTTAATTTATAACCTAAAAAGTGCACACTTTTTATTAGTGTGCACTTTTTAATCTGATATTTTATTCTTTATAGTTGATATTTATTATTAAATAACAGCTATAAAGAAATGCTCTTAGCTCTTAATTCAGTTCAATACAACAGAACTTTCTTTATCTCGAAGGAAATTCTTGTCAGAGAATGTTTCAAATTACATTAACAATAAGTATAGTAACAACAATTTAACATTCACAACCAGTAACAGAGTATAGAGTATCAAATACAGCACATATATACATACATATATAGATACAGATAGTATATGAATCCTAAAAGATCAGTTACTTGTTAAGAGCCGATAGAGCAGGTCAGAGCTGTTGCTGTTGTTGGGAGTCACAGTCTGGAGTTATTTTCCAGCTTTCA